TTAATTTTTGCACATGGTTATTGGCACAAGAACCGGATTTTATCGAAACAATTTTATTTACGGACGAATCCTGCTTTACGCGCGAGGGTTCTTTTAATACGCACAATTCTCTCATTTGGAGCAATGAAAATCCACACGAATATCGAATTCAAAACTATCAACACCGTATAAATTTGTGGGCTGGTATATAAAATAATTTAATCGTAAGTTTTCTGTTTATTATTTGTATTATAGCTTATATAACAAAAAAATGATGTAATATTTTGGATGTAAGGTTTGTTTTAGAACAATGTATATCTATGTAATATCTATAACATATTAAATTACAGATTGGACCGTTTGAAATGCCCATAAGATTTGATGGCAATATTTATCAAAATTTTATAAATAATAATTTGCTAAAATTGTTGGAAAATATTCCACTAAATATTTGACAACGGCTTGTTTTTCAACAAGATGGTGCACCACCACATAATGCGAGATGTGTACGCCAATCATTGAGTGAAAAATTTCCGGGTAGATGGCTAGGACGCGGTGGTCCTATAAGTTGGCCAGCACGCTCACTCGATCTGACGCCTCTGGATTATTTTTTATGGAGTCATATTAAAGAATAGTGTACAAGGAACCAATTAATACTCGCGAGGAAATACGAGACAAAATTGTTGAAGCAATCGCCACAACGACACCAAACATGATTAGAAACGCAACAAGCAGTCTACTGCGACCCGCACAATTGTGTATTGAATGCGATGGGGGACATTTTAAACATTTATTATAAAAAATATTTTAATTTGTTATTTAATCTGTTAAACTGTTTTGTTGTTATAAAAATTCATTAAATATGTTAAAAGTGTTAATTTTTTAAAGTGTGTTAAATTAAGGTTTATTAAATACGTTTGAATTATAATTATTGTTCAAATTGATTTTTATTAAAACCATTGCAATTTGTATTTCGTTACGAACATTCAAAAATGTTCTAAAATACAATATAAACAGCTATTAATTCTATTACAATTTATTTGTCTCGCACAGCGTAGCGTGGACACCTTCATGGTAATGTTAATCAAGTGATGTAAAAAAAAGGTACGCCAAGTGCTACTTTGTGTAAGTTATTATAATTTTTTTAACATTATTGTATTTCTCTAATTATTTTATTTTTTATTTAATAATATATTATTAAATATACCAATAATATAAGTATGTTATTTTTTTTTATTGATATTAACAGCTGTATAGGTATCATTAAAATAAGAGAACCGTTAGTCTATAAAAAAAAGGCACGCCAAGGGTGTAAATTATTATAATTTTTTTTAATATTATTGTATTTTCTAATTATTTTATTTTTTGTTTAATAATATATTACTAATATATTAATAACATATTTAATTAAGATATATTATATAATCAAAATCACATGTTTATAAAATTAAAAAATGATTAATCATTCGCACTTGACGAATGTAATCTCTTGATATCATTTCTTTTGTAGAGAGTACATAAAACTGTCTTGTATTTTTCAATAGAGTTTTTGCGAAAATACAATTGATCTGAATAAAATTTAATAACATTTTTAATCTGAATAAGTTTTAATAATATTTTTCCAAATATCTTTGGACTGAGCTTTTGTTGTAAAATATTTATAACGATTTTTTTTGTAAAGTTTACCCTTATAGAAATATCATACTAAAAATCATGGATAATTACTTATTATCCAGTATTTTTAATACTGAAAATAAGTAATTATCAATGATTCTTAGTATGATATTTCTATAAGGGTATTTGTAACGATTTTTTTTTATAATACTAACGCGCGTGCACTTGGCTTCTTTTTTACTTTTTCTGTGAAAAAGTAATTTTGGTTTTATATCACATCTTTTTTTACGAAATAATATTAAACATTGAAAACGAGTTTCTTTGTTAATTATTTTATACGTTGAATTTGGACATTGTAAATTTATTTATAATGATTCTTTTTTGTATAAAGTATCTTTGTTCACTCTTTGATAACATTAACATTTTTCTATATAATAATATAAAAGAAATTGATTAATGATAGAAAATTATAACATTGATGGTATGTTACTGACAGTATTTAGTGGGAGAATATTCAATAAACACTAACTTTGAAAGTAATGTTATATCAATGTATAAATAAATATAAATATAAATAAATAAATAAATAAATAAATATATATATATATATATATATATATATATATATATATATATATATATATATATATAT